TAAGAACTCCAAAGTTAAGTGTGCTTGCTCGGGAGTAGTCTTGGGATGGGTGACCCCCTGGGAAGTTTCTCAGGGCGCGCATGAGTGAGGACAAAGTGCGCAGTAAAGGCTCGTGGTGGTTTGTGGGGACAGTACTATTGGTCCGGAGTAACTACCTCGGGTCCGGTGGGGCCGGGGTGTTACAGGTGGTATCAGAGCAACCCTGCGACAGTGTACTGACCCGTTGGATATCGGGCGGCCACTTAGCGGGGGAGGATTCTGGGATTTGATTGAGATTTGAGATTGGTTCAAGGGCGCAACGAGGACGTTGCGATCCTAAGTGGGGGTGATTGTAACACTTGAGATTTAATATAAACGGATTAATAGTACTACTTATACCAACAGAGGTGCATCTCCTTTTAAGGGAGCTCATTACCTAAGAACTCCAAAGTTAAGCGTGCTTGCTCGGGAGTAGTCTTGGGATGGGTGACCCCCTGGGAAGTTTCTCAGGGCGCGCATGAGTGAGTACAAAGTGCGCGGTAAAGGCTTGTGGTGGTTTGTGGGGACAGTACTATTGGTCCGGAGTAACTACCTCGGGTCCACGAGGCCGGGGTGTTACAGGAATGGTATGACTCTCTGCCAGAAGGAGGGATAGGGAACTTCAGGGAGTTGGCTCACGCATTCGTGACACGTTTTGCCACCTCCAAGGATTCCAAGAAGAATGTCTCTCACCTTCTGGGAATCAAATAGGGCTCCCAAGAAACCCCGAATGATTTCCTGGGACGTTGGAGGGAGGAGACAGTCAAGGTAGAAGACCTGGATGACAAGTCTGGTGTGGCTATCCTCACCAATGCTCTGAGGTCGGGCGAACTATATATATAAAGACTTTATACGCAGGCCCCCGACCTCCCATGAGGAGGCTCTGTTGCGCGCCAAGGCACAAGCCAAGGTTGAGGAAGCAGAGAAACGAAAGAAAGACAAGGAATCAGGGAAGTCTCAGCCCAATGGTGAGAGAAAGAAAAGCTCAGATAAGGAAGCCCATGACCCGGAGAAGGGGAATGGATTCAAAAAGAAGAAAAGAGGCTGGGGAAAGGGCAGATCAAATGTTCCAGAGGGACCTTTGTCCATGATCCGGGCCCTATCGGCCGAAAGATAAAAGTGGGTAGATGTATCGTGAAGGAAACTTTGGAACAGAAGAAGACTTAGATGAAGACATGATGAACCGACGTTTCGCTCAAAGGGATCAAAGGATGTCCGAATAATGAAAAAATATGGAGAGTTATTTTTATACGGCGAAACCCTAAAACGCTTCGTAATCGTTGGAACTGTTTGGGACTCATCTCGAGAACTGTTCAAAAACCGCTTGGGAAAACCGTATCCGGAGATTCGAGAAATCGGGAAATGAAAAGCCGTTTGAAAATTGAGCCTGAGCTGCAGGCCTACTTCGGCGCAATAATTACTAAGGCAGAGCTACAGCCTACAGCTGCCTACAAAGATTCGAAATTTGAAATCTAATGAACCGCTTCAATTCTACTCCTCCAAATTCAGCCCTGCTAACTTTTAGGAGTAGGGGGGCTCGTGATGGTACCATGGATTAAGACCATGGCCCAATTACGTAGTCCAGCCCATAAACGGGATCGGCCCTTGACGGGACCAACCTAATTACAGGATTAGCCCATAAACGGGATCGGCCCTTGACGGGACCAGCCTAATTACAGGATTAGCCCATAAACGGGATTCATGGTTGAAAGCCACTTAGCCCATTAGGAATTAGGTCCACAATAGGAACCCACAACCAGGCCGTTGTGGTTCTAGTGAGGCGGGGTTCTAGTGAGGCCAAGATATCTTAGGGCTTACGTGGCAAGCTATCACTCGTTGATAGATATTTGGCAACAGGCAGAACTCATCCGGAGGACGACGACTAAAAAGGGGAAGCAATCGTGTGGGAGTCAAGCATCGAAGAGTTCTATTTCAAGCAAGAATATAGTTCATTAATTGAGCATTTATTGTATTAGATTCCTCCCATAATTCTACCCCCTAATCTCTATAAATACTTGATGTAAACACCCTATTGGGGGATCCCCGAATGGAACCTCCGATAAGATTTGAGACCGAGGCTAGACTATTGCTAGTTCTCCGGAATAAAGAGTAAACTGCCTTACGCTGCCATATTATTCTGATATCTACGTATATTTAGCTCTCGTAGTTGGATTTAACTCCATCAACTACCAATTAGGCTAACAACATATTTTGAGGTGGAGCCTAGGCTTACCCTCATTATAATGTAAATCCGCCCCTGACTCCGTTTGACAAATACTCCCTCCGTCCCCTTTTAAATGTCCCGAAAGAGGGTGACACGAGTTTTAAGAAAAGTAGGTTTGTGTAGTTGATATTAATTGATAAAGTAAGAATAAAGTAAGAATGATTTTGAGCCACACAAATTTTATCAAATAAAGTATGGGACAATTAAATAGGGACATTCCAATATGATAAAACGAGATATTTAAAAGGGGACGAGGGAGTAACATATACGTAGTACCTACAAAAAGTGAAGGGAACGGATTGGGATCCTCTGCCCGACTAGGATGGTGCCTTGCGCATCGGACGGTCGGGCAGTAGCAAAGCAGGCCTCGAGATTAGCGAAAAAGTGGAGCCCAAGATCTCCGACCGTTGAATTGTTGATCGGACAACCCGGAAGAAGCAAGGCACCCTACCTTACTTTAAAGTAAGGTAGAGGCTCCGGATCCGAAGGGAACTCATGGCAAAAGGGAGATATCAAAATTTCAATCTCATAAGTCATAATGATCGGGAAATCGTGCCTTAGTTACTGAGCTCCTGAGACCAAGTGTTTGGAGTTTGGACTCGGTCACTCAAATGGTTGTTAAACCCTATTTGGTTTACACAATTTGTACACACAATTTGTACACTTGTCTGTCCCTCACAGACAAGTTGTCTGTCCCGAGATGAGTTGTCTGTGTGGACAGACAACTCATCTCGGGACAGACAACTTGTCTGTGAGGGACATACAAGTGTACAAATTATGTGTACAAATTGTGTGTACCTCAATATTTTTTCAACCAAATATGCATAATCGAATATTTGCATTTGTAAACCAAATATGCATCGAATACTTGCATTTTAGTATGTTCTTCGTAACAAAAAATCTTCTCACTTTCCTTTTCGTTCGCAACAAAAAAATCATTCCATTTCTAAATCTTCTCAGCATACCCTCAATAATTCTGAAAATAATACATTATTACAACTAATTTTTTTGGATTTATCCTACATTCCATCACATTATTATACTATTTTCCTATCATACCTTCAATAATTCATATTCTCTTTTATTATTCTTAATCTACCTACTTTTCAAATAGGAAGATTTTAAACTTAAGGAGGGAGTACTGTCTAATTTCTCACACCTAATCAATGGCTTTTTGGTGTCAAAGGAAGCTATGATGAGGGTCAATAATTAATTGATAACACTGCCCCGGGTGAGGGTCATTCTTTGGCCCATGAATTATTGATAGTAGGGTGATCATTTTTTTTTAAGTTTCTGTCCATATGAAATTATCAAAAGTATCATTCTTATTTTTAATGCTAAAAACACTTGTTTGAGGGACCAACAGTGGTCGACTTCACATCTTCCTCAAATTGGCATGTTCCTATAATTTATTTATTTATTTATTTTGCTTGAATATTTATTTATTTATTTATTTATTTATTTATTTATTTATTTATTTATTTATTTATTTATTTATTTATTTATTTATTTATTTATTTATTTATTTATTTATTTATTTATTTATTTATTTATTTATTTATTTATTTATTTATTTATTTATTTATTTATCTATCTATTTATTTATTTATTTATTTATTTATTTTGACATGTTCCTAAATAACTAAATCCTTTCTGATTTGGCAATTTCATTGCCTTTCGAACTAACTAACTAACAAACAAAGTGTAGGAAACCATGACTTATAAATTAAAATGAAGTTAATTGGTTGACAAAACAATGATATCGCATAAGTAGTGATTATATTATTATTATTATTTTGCGAGTCAAGTAACTATATTAATTGATGCGATTATGTCCAAGTTTATACTTTATTGACTATGATATTTTATTTACAGCACTCAGTTACATTTTTGTTAATAAATTTATTTAAATAATACTCTGTATTATAATATGAAATCTATAATGTATTCTTGATTTTTATAGTATGTTTTTACTTGGAATGAATTTGTTGGTCTGATTTGGTCTAATCTGAATTGATTTGGTCCGATAAACTTAATTCTGGTCTCTGTGTATTTTATAACTACGGAAATCTGGTCTGGTTTGAACTGATCGGGTCTTGTCTGGTCTGATCCAAGACTGAATCAATCCAAGTTAAAAACATCCATAGTTCCTGCATACATTATGTTTTTGATGTTTCAGGTCTCTATTTTGTTTTTATTTTCATCACTATTTTAGTATTCCCCTCACCGGCTACAATACCATCAACTCGACAATGAGACAAGCATAACTAAGAGGTTTTATAAATAACTCCACCTCTCTTATAAAAATCGAAACATGAAGATAGAATATATTGCACGAATGAAAACAAAAGAACAAAACAAACTGCAATATGTAAACAAAAGTGCTACTCTAATTGTAAGGATAAAAAGAATATTAAACCTGATTCACTAACAATAGAAGGTGACTGACGATAAATCTATTTATAGGATTCTCGATTTTAATATAATGTCCGCCCTTTTATTATAAAAAAAGAGTATTCATAATTCATATGATCATATCATGATCCGGTGTATAAATTTATTTTACTACAAAAAAAATTATGGAGCCATATGTGACTCTCTTATGGAGTCCAACAATGCTTGATGTACTCACTCTTATATCCACCTTATACCCACCATGTTTGTGAAATGTTTTTTTTGTTTGTGAACCCGATTCACAGACAATATTTTGTTTGTGCAAATAAAAATAAAACACTTCACAAACATAGGTGGGTACAAAAGTGAGTATAAGAGTGGATACAAACATCATTTTTGTAACAAATCAACATATTGATGATAAACAGGGAAATACAAATTCTTATACAGCACTGCTAATGCAACGGTACAAACATATTACCACATTTCTAGCAATAGAGGTGATAAAATTGAATGCAAAACCGAGACACAGACGCTGTTTTTCCTTAATTAGATGCTCTACATACTTAATTAAGCACAAACACACAATTAAAATAACATAAACAATATGATAATGCAAAAACTAGGAAGACAATGAATGCCGCCTGCTTCTTGATGCGGCCGGGCTGTCTGAGGTGTCCGAGCTGCTGTTTTCACTTTGTCCATCTTTGTTACTTCTCCACATCTTCTTTGAGAATATCTTCTTCTTCTTTGACATTATTAAACTCTTCACTTCATCCGAAGCAACGGCTCTTGTTTTCGATATTGCACTTTCCTTTAGCTTCAGGTTACCAAGCTCCACTTTTAAGGCTTTGAGCTTCTTTTCCTCCTCCGCTGTAGGGACAGGCCGAACAGAATCCCAATCTTCGTCCCCCTCCGTGACGGTCCTAGAGCTCCCGAGCGACCCTCGTCCTGGTAGGTTGGATGTAGTAGTAGTGCTGCTGCTGCTGACCTCATCGGATGATGTGGTCGCGGATCGTAGTTGCTCGAAGAACAGAAGCTGTACAACAGCCCGTAATGGAAGTCTCTCGTTTTGGACAGCATGCATGCACCCCTCAGCTGACAGCTTCTTGCAATCCATTAGCCGACATATTCTTTTTCTCTCGCTTTTAGTGATCCCAGGATGCTCCTGCAAGGGGGGAAATAAACCATAGGACTAAGCCTAACAAATTTCTTCAGAGAGAACTATCCATGGGTTTTTAATTTTTTATGAAAACGTGATGCCACTATAGTAAGTACTATTGTTTTTTAAGATCGAACCAGTCATATTTTCATAAAAATCAATGAGTGCACATGACTTATGTTTACTTTCTTGAGCATATTTAGGCAACAAAAGTGACGCATTGATATCCTCTGATTGCGAAAATAAGAAGAAAAAGAATTTACCTTGAGATACATGTCAATCGCGCGGTAAATTCCATCATGTGATCTCCTGGGGAATCCTGAGACCATTTCAGCAAGACCAACAAATTTTGGCAAAGGCAGACTAGGATCTCTTGCCACTTCCATGAGGTATCCATCAACCAGCGTAGCCACCTTAGTCTTCGAAGCATTTGACTCAAACACGTTGTCTTGTCTACATTCAACCCGATCACTTCCTTCCCCCATCACGAACTGCTCCACTACTTCCTGCACTATATCAATGGATTCTTGAATGAGAAGATCAGCCACTGTAGCCTCTTCCAGCCGCAATCCTATCCTTTTGATCAACTCCCTTCTCTGTGTTCCTCCACATTCCAAAGCGATCGATGCTTGGAGAAGTTTCAGTAAGAAACTGCAGTGAACACCGTTTTTCTCAGTAGGCAATAGACAAACAATGGTGTCAACCACGTGCCGGCACTTCACAGGATCGTTGCCTTTTATTGTGCCCTTACTGAACCCCGGCAGCCTCCTATAAGCATATGCTTTCAGCGCTTCTCCGATCACCTTACCAGATGCTTTACCCTTTATACCCTTTATGACTCGTTTGTATAAGTCTATATGAAGCTCACAAAGATCCTCCACCCACCAGTCGTCAGGGACAGGGGTATGGAAGCTTCCGTCTTGGAATGGAAGCTTCCTACGGTTGTAGGTATATGACCAGTCAACCTCTGCAGGGTTGATTGATGCTTTAAAAGCAATGGAGTCTAGGCAGCGATTAACGATTTTCAAATCCTCCGGCCAGGGAAGAAAAGATCTCGTTGTCTGAAGGGCAATGATAGAATCTTTCCAGGTCCTGAAGATGCTTGATGTGAGAAAGACTTCAATTTTGAAGATAAGATTTCCTTTTTCGGCTGTTTCGTTCATCTCCAGGTATTCTGCCGCACAACGGGTGGCAACCACGTTGTACGGGTTAAGAGTGACTGTCATGCCGTAACAATACTTTGCACATATTTCAAATGCAGCAGCTCCACCGGGTATATCCGGGATGTTAATCTCGTCGGGGTTCTCTCCATTTGAAGAGGCCACCAGCCGTTGCAAGCGAGCGCTCTTGGACAGAAGGGGAAACTGTAAAAAATGTAGCAATATTTCAGAACTGTATTATATAATATCATGATATGCTGATTTATGACTACAACATTTGTTACCTTGCAAAAATGATCCCTCATCACACCACTCAACTGTAACAAATTTTAGTCCACTATTGTAAAGGAGGACTAAAGGGCTGTTTACTTTAATTCTTATCAAGTCATTTCACTAATAAGATGTGTCTGTGTGCACTAAGATGCTTGTCTCAACTACGCGGTCTGTATAATAGTCTGAATTGGGTAAAATAATCAATTTAAGGTAATTTTTCAGTTACCTCCGCCCATGGCAAAATCAAGGATTGTTTTTGGTAAATATTTACCGTTCATCCAAAAAAGGACAGTTTTATTAAGAGTTACTTGAATGAAATGGTTGAATTGCAGAGTTGATTATTCTTCTTTTACAAAAATATTGTATTTCTATTTCTTTACTTTGACTTACTTTTTTTTACTAGGACTTACTTATTTCAACCAAATAAGTCAGTTGAAGAAGACTTATTTTCCACCAATAAGCAGAACAAGTGGATTAAATCTACAAAAAGATGCCTACATAACTGAGAGGCTAACATTGCAAATTCCCATATTGTGTTACATACCTTGTGTAGATAAAATCTCACGTTTCCAACATCAATGACCATGTCAGTTGCCAATTCAGAAGCTACATACCTGATATAATTCACACACCATACTTGTTAAATTGTAGAAATAGAAATAATAGTAAAAAAGTACAGTAATACTAGTAGTATTATACGATAGTACTACACAGTATCAGACTCTAGACTTAAGTTAGTACCGAGTATTAGAGACAATTTGGCAACCCCTATTTTCTTGAGAACTTTTTTACCGAATACATAATTTTTTATTTTGAGCACTGAATTATGTGCAAGAATCAAAATAAGTAAGGTTAAAGTTACTTTTTTGCCCGAATTAGTTGAAATTGGTGAAGATGACTACTTTAACTATAGTCATATCCCACATATTTTTATTTATTTATTAATAAACTATTTTAAATATTCATAATTAAGAAGATTCAATCAATTCATCTGCTTAACACATAATTTCAACAATTTCAATAAATTACAATTTCAATGTTACTATTATGATGTCAATTAGATTCAAAGTTCTGGTGTCTTATTTCTACAGGGTTTAGATCAATTATTCTCTATATTGTTCTAATCACAAGAAATTATGAGATTGTAAGTTCAAGGTCATATCAATAAAAGTAAGTTCATTTAAGTTTCTGTAAATAAAATTTATCCAGATAAAATAACCAACCTATGGTAGGAGTTTTTCACATTCTCTATTTCTTCAAAACAAACTACAAGTGGGAAAAGGGGAGAAAATCCCAACAGTAGAAAGAAAACACTGACCTGATATTGTCACCCTCACTCTGAAACAGATCAGGCTTTGACCCAAGCTTCATGAACTTCATTTTGACAGCTCCGTTCACCTTCACAATAATCTCAAGAAAACTTCAACTCTTGAAACCAGAACTAAATAACAGATAGGCCTCTCAAAACCAATGGAAAAGACCCTTAGGACCTGAGACAGAAAACAAACATCACCTCTGTTAGAGTTGTAGACTAGCACCAAATGAGCAGACAAGAAACAAACATACACACACAAAAAGGACCCATTTGCAGAATATACAAAAGAAGGCCCAGAAAAGAGGCTATCTCTTTACAGAAAACAGATACAGGCAAAAAAAGATGGAATCTTTGAGCTTAGTGGTCTCAAGAACTCACAAGAGAGGTAGACAGTGAAAGGGTAGTGCAATACTGCAATGGAATGGTCCAAGATAAGCAGCAAAGGTGGAGAGAAGAATCAATACAAAAGAGGGATGATTCCAAAACAGTGGAAACAAAGTGCAAAGCACTGGAAATATATAATATATGTACACACACTATAGCTGTGGGAGACAAAGCCTAGAAAAAACCGACCTGAGAGGGCCACCACCACAATGCTAATACTCTTATCTTTAGCTGATTAAAAAACCAAAAACCAGAGGAAAAGCTGATTAGCCCCGAGGAAGGGAAGAAAAAGAGAGAGGGGTTTAAAAAGCGGCCATGGAAAAGATGAGTTGTCGCTGATCTTTGACAGCCACCACGGCAACACCATGTTTTCTCATAGAATGTTCCCAAGACCTCTTTTTTAGATTTAGAATCGGCTTCACCGCCCCCCAACACCACCTCCACCACTCCGACCGCCACCTTTTTCTCCACTCCCGTCTTTTTATAACCGGAGGAATCTCTAATTTTTTTTGTCAGAGCTCGCATAATGACTTCCACCAACCTTATTTTATTCAAATAGTGCTTAAGAGTGTTAATCAAATTGAAATTATATCTTGACCAAAAAAATTGAAATTATATGATTTAAGACCGAGGAAATAATTTAAATTATCCCAAAATTTGAAGAAGTGTGAGATATGTACTTCAAATTTAAACGTATAATATGTACTCCTTCCGTCCCATTTATATTATCCCGGAAGAGGGTGACACGGTTATTAACAAAAGTGGGTTTGTGTGGTTGATATTAATTGATAAAGTAAGAATAAAGTAAGAATGATTTAGAACCACACAAACTTTGCCAAATATGGTATGGGACAATATAAGTGGGACTTCCCGAAAAGGTAAAACGGAACAAAATAAATGGGACGAAGGGAGTATATTCTAAGTTTTATACAAAAGTTTATATAAGTACATTTTAAAAGTCTATTCACCCCCTTTACAATTTTATCTGAGACCATCACATTTATCATATATTTTTTCATAAATATAATTTTATGATGTTAAGTACATAATTTGAAATACACAAAATATTTATGAGGATGCAATTAAAATTAAATTGTACCGGATGTAATACATGGTATTATTTATTTCAAAAATGAAATTTTAAAATGTTAAATGCACTATTACAAAGATTAGACTATTTCAAATTATGTAATTATATAAATTTGTATTTGTAAAATGACATACAATGAAGGTGCCAAAGTCAGTTTTTATATAAAAGTTGAGGACATATATGTTACAGTTTGGGTATTTATTTTACATCTCATTAAAATTTCATTAAAATTTGAGGTATTTAAATTATCCCCTTTAAGATAATAATCTTGAATACTTGGAAATTTAATACCCATACAATATAACCAATAAATTCCTTCTAAAACTTTAATTTCAAGAACTATTATTGGTGTATATACAGCGCATTTGTACATGCCCATTTGCGCATGTTTATATATCTCGTCTATGTACAGTTTTTTGCATGTTTAGATGAATAGTTTGTGATCAAACACAAACATGGGTAAATTGGTAATGGTCAAGGGCAGGGGCGGAGCCAGAAAAATGACTCAGCGGGGTCGAAATCAAATTTACATATAATCAAAATGGTAGATTATTTTTAGACAATACCCGAATTGAATGTAGCTTAAATAAATGATAGTTTGAATGAAACTAATAGAGTATATATAGTTAATATACTTCGTATATGTCACATATATTATAAACTTGTTTTATACGGGTTGAGTTGAGTACCTCGGATGAGACCCATTGTCTTACCCTAGTACTCTATGGTTCTCTTCGATCTTACTCGGTTTAGTATCAAGATTTCTTATTAGGAAAGAATCATTTATTGAGTAGGGACTCGTAGCAGTAAGATATGTAGTCTTTTCTCTATCCCTAAGTCATGTCACGTAAGTAACGAGTGAATTACACGCTATTTTGTGAATATAATTAATATTACGCATCACAATTTTACTAATTTCAAACTTAAATAGTGCTGATTTTGCAGAAGTCATAACTTTTTACTCGTAATGAGTTACGAGAGTCATAATATATCAAATCGAAGATATTTCAGAGCTCTACACTCTTAAATTTTCAGCGGGGTCGGCTGACCACCCCGACCCCAGTAGCTCTGCCCCTGGGACTCAAGAGAGCCATTCCCCCCAAATTTAATTGTTTTTAAATTTTAATAATTGTGGCGCACTGGCGCATAATTACCCCATATATACTTCGTATAACGTTTATAGACTTCCAATGCCCAATAATGTGTAATATCTCACTATAATCAATTCAGCAGGAAGTAAAAAAAATTAGGCATACGCTGGAGTTGCTAATGGCTATATTCATCCAAACTAGATAAGGGGAATTGGGAAATGCGCTATAAATGATGCGTTTTCTCCAAAAAATAATTTTCAATTTAGCTATAAAAAAAGTTCAAACTTGTGTTTGCAAATAATGATTCTACTTAAATTAGACGTTTTAAACTAAAAGTTAGAAGCAAACATGTTTTACATTTTTTTTATTACACGAAATACATTTTTAAATCAATTTTTTTATTTATTGAAAATCACTTTTCTTTTCAAAAACTACTACGTAGTAACTTTTACTATAAACCATTTTTCATACAAATTTCACAAATACAAATGCTCCCTAAATCTGTAGCTGTGTCACAAGTGCACTTCCTAGACAAAACAAAATTCAAGTGCACCACTATTTGATGAGCAAATGTATTAATCTCCAATAGTAAAAATTTAAGTCTTTATTTCATCATTAGCATCTTGAATATTTTAGTGGCAATACTTTTAGACTTTTTATATACTTCTAAATATTATTGGACTTGATAATTAATTGTGTTTTTCATTTTTTATGAATATATATATGTACATCATTTAATATTAAATTACACTATTTATCATTACGTTACTATTTGTACTCGGGGCCCCTCCCTAGCTATCATCAAATGTAGAAGATATCTGATCTAGAAATAGATGTATGCAAATGGAATTTTCCATAGGGTATGTTCATAATATTATCTATACTATACGAACAAAGTCATTAGACATGTCAACGTGCTTCCTTAATCATATTATACGTCCATCATTTATGATTGTGTGCGTGTTCATAGTGTCACATTATTTTTTTGCCTTATCGACCTTAATAGCGATAGATAAATATGCCATACGAGATTTGAAATGAATGAAATGACATTGTTTAAACTTGATATTGTTTATTTGATAGAAAAAATACAAATTCATATATCATACCACCTCCGTTCTTAAATAAGTGCACTATTCACATGATCTACTTTGACTACATTTTATTTATTGATATATTAATATATATTTTTGAAAAATATATTATTAAATTTATCCCATTGTACATTTTCAAAAACTGATTTTTTTAAATTTTTTACTAATAGAGAATTATATATATTAATGGTCAAAGTTGTGCCTCGACAAATGTGAAATGTTAACTGTTACACTTATTTAAAAACGGAGGAAGATGAATCTCTTAGATACGAACATTTCTTATTTACATAGTATCAATCTAGTTTGAAAATTAGTAATGTGTGAAAAATATGTCAATCTATTAGATACATTTATTATTGGGAAAACTGTCAAATAGGTCCTCGAACTTCATAAAAAAAATAATTAAGTCCTTCTATAGGAGACTCTGTCCGGTCGTCGCGATTTGGGGCGATTCCCGGTGGAATTTTTTTATGAAATTTTTTGAGCATTTTATTCATCAAGTCTAGTTTACTCATACCAAATTTCAGCTAAAAATTTAATCGGGAGCGCGTTCAAATTAATTCGAGAACGCAAAAATGCGCAGTTATCTTCAAGAATTAATTTGAATGTGTTCCCGATTGAATTTTTAGCTGAAATTTGGTATGAGTAAACTAGACTTGGTGAATAAGATGCTCAAAAAATTTCATCAAAAAATTCCACCAGGAACTGCCCCAAATCGCGACGGTCGGACAGAACCTTCTATAGAAAGACTTAATTGACCTTTTTATGAAAGTACGAGGATCTATTTGACAGTTTTCCCTTTACTATTTGCATATATCAATCTACTTTCAAATGTCTATAGGACGACACGCAAAAGACCATATCTTTTCATTTTATGTACTCCGTAGTTAGTTAATGTGCCTGACATTTTTGAAGTGTCAACATGCCAATAATTGTTTTGTGGAAATACAAAAACTTCTTATACGGTCATACGGAGTACTTTTATAATAACATGCCTGACTTGAATTTCATTATAATGTAATTGTGTTTCCATGCAACAATTATGCACTTCTTATTCAGGGGCCGTTTGGAGCACCACAAACAGGCTGATAAGCCTGAAAGTGCACAAAAATCACCAAACATCAACCAAATTAGCTACTCTGGCTGATTTTTTTTATCAGCTCAAAAAGGAAGTGTTGAGTTACTTTTTGGGCTGATATTTATTATTCTACTATTAGCAATAGCAAAGACCTTTTACCCCCACAACGGAAGACTGCCTTTAGCTTGTCACCCCAAACCCTTCAGCTGAAACCTAGCTTGCTCACTTTCTTTTTGGCATCTATGAACATACGTTTTCTTCCTTTTGGATGAGGAAAACTCAATTTCAAGATTCTTTATTCATTTGAGGTAGTCTTCGTTCTTCCTATGGATAATATCTCTTGGATTTGGCTTTGAATCATTACATATGAGACTTTTTCCTTTCAAATGGTTTTCGTGTATGATTTTTTTGTTTTTGTTTTAAATTGATGATTTTTAAAAGCCGTTCTAGGTTGTAGAAATTTGGTGAAGTTTGGCCTGGGTTTCTTTTCTCCTAAATAAATTCCGTTTTTAGTACTCGAAACCAGAAAGGTTTCAAAAGTGGATTAAGAAAAATTCGGCCATTTTTTACTGATGTATATTGGATATTTGGATGTGTGTTTTCACGAAGAAAAGTTGCATAGCAATTTGAAGGACACAACAATTTAAGGAAAGCAACAGCATATATAACAATTTAATATCCTTTTTGGTAATTTTACTTTCAATCAGCCATTTCAGCCAATATATAACCAAACACTTTTACATCAGCATATTCAGTCTTTTCAGTATTTTCAGCCATTTCAGCCACTATAGCCATTACCAAACAGACCCTCAATGTGGGATCAGTGATTGTTTTAGACCATTTAAAGAACTTTCATTGTTTAGAAAAATAGGCTTATAATAATTTTTAGGGAAAGTTGTTCTTTCGGTCCCAAAATTGTGCATTCCTTTTAATTTACAGATATCCTCCCAATATGTAAGTATAGTGAATGACTGAATGGCTTTAATAATTGAGGGACGTTATTGTACACATAATTTGTACACATTTATGTACAAATTATGTACACATGCCTAGTTGCATGTATACACAAGAGTTTCTGAACGAGTTGTCTGTGTACACAATATGTGTATCAATAGCTTTTTCTTTAATAATTTAACCTACTCCATTCTTATGTTAAAT